ATATATATATATATATATATATATATATACATATATATGTATGTATTAAAAATTATTAAATTCCAAATGAGTGGAAAAAATTGTCTCGATTAAAACTCTCCTACTTTAATATATATAAACATTTTAGGGGGTCATCATACAATTGGTGAAAAACATCATTAATTTTGCGAATGATTATCATACCTAAAGTCCTCTTTAATAAAATCTAAATCTAATTTTATTCACACTAACGACATAAACCTTCGATTTAAAATTAAAACTACTACAGAAAAACACTATTTTAGAGAATTTTAATGATAAAATGAGATAAATATAAATAAATAAATAAAAAAGCATAACTTGTATTCAGTTTTCTAAAGATGATCACATTTTCTTTATTTTTGGCGTGGCCTAACAACTTTTCACCAAATAACTAAACACACTATGGGTACATTTGATACACGTTAATATACAAAATAAGAAAAACAGCACAATACAACTATTTAAGTCACAAGATAATTTTTAAATTTGTACATAGTTTGATGAACGACAGACAACACAAGTAAATGAAATATATGAAAAAGCAACTACATGTGATTTTGAATTGTGTGGTTGGAAGTGGGAGCAAGACTGCATCTGCAAGAGTGTGGGAGGAGAGATAATCGGAGAAGAGGGAAGAGAAAAAAGAGTTACAATATTTTAATTTTATGAGTACTTTTTATTCGCGTGACAAAAAGTTGTCACATAATCTTTTAAGTAAAAAAAATAGGAGCTTTTGTCATGTCCATAATTACTTAATTTGTGCTGTCCCACAACAAACATGGAACAAATATAATTTTTCAGTCCAATTCCGTAAATTTCAGGTAATCAAACGCATCTAGATACGCAATTCTAGAATTTTTTTTATTAAAAAATAGTCTTTATTTTTAATGAAGAAATTCTCAAAAGTATTTTATCCTGTAACTAAATTGACTCTAAATTCTATAACCACTAAAGTCGCCCGGTCGAAATCATAGTCTTCTATATAATCTTTTTTACTGATAAAAAAGCCACACCAAATCGCCACAACCGAAAGAGTAGCCAGTAGCGTATGTTTAGATTAAGGATTATAGATATAAATTTGGATAAATTTTATTTTGCAAATCGAATTTACAAATGCATTCTCCACTTTTCTTTCTTTTCAAAACAAAATTATAGCAAAATTCAATTCCCAATCAAACTCAACTAAAAACCAAACTATAGATTGCTTTCAGTGGCACTTTTAAAACCGATGTTGGAAACTCTCAACTGAAAACCAAACATAGCCCCAACGGTGGATAAGATCCATGACGTTGAGCTGCCAAAAAGCTGGTCACCATGTCAGTATTCACATGTCCGTTTGAATAAACACTCAACCATAGTATTGTCAGCAAATTAACCTAACAGACCTTTACATCCTCATCAGCACTAGCAAACACTCAACCATGAATCAACACAATCCTCCTTAATGATCTTATCCTACCCCCTGCCCAAAGATGGTAGCTAACAAGAACAAACAGGTATAAAATCCCACCTTTTACTCGATTTCATTCATTAAAATTCTTTCCCTCTTATCTGCAGGTTATCATATCCCAATCTAAAAGATAATTCATTGTAATAACCATCCGTGGATAAGAAAAGTTGGAAACTCTACTTGTGGTATCAAAAATTTCTGTCTACTACTTGCGAGTAGTGTTCATAAAAATTCTTAAAAGTTTTTATAGTTCATTGCATCACTAATAAAATTAAATTGATACTATCATAATCTAAATAAGCTTCTTCTTCTGGAAGAACCGCTTCAAATACCACAATTGCAAACCTGAAACTGTAATGCAGATACCCAAGGACATAATGCTAAACCATGCCACTCTGGAATTTGTTTTTTCATTCACCGTCCTCATCTCAGCTTCCCTGGAGAAATAACCCAAAAAACAAAATTATACATATGAAAAGTTAAAATAATAATAATAATACATAATTTGCAATTAATTAATTTTAGGGGAAGATGTTGATGTTGATGTGATTAGAACATATGAAAAGTTAAAATAATAATAATAATAAATAAGTTGCAATTAATTAATTTTAGGGGAAGATGTTGATGTTGATGTGATTAGAATTACCTGCCCTTAAGATAGAGCAAATTTTCATGGATAGCCTCTACTGCTCCTTCTAGCTTTCTCAGTTCAAGCTCAACTCCCTAGGTATCAATCACATGTAGAGACATAAATCAGCAAAGAGAATCATTCAAGAGCAAACAGAAGAGGGATAAATTTCAACTCAGATTTGGATTCTCTCATGTTCTTATGTTATGAGAGAAAGATACAAAAGCAACTATAGTAACACTAAGCATTATGCGTGCAGGGTCCATCAAACATTCCTTTTAGTGTCTTTTTCTCTCATAGTTTGAAGGGAACATGAAATAAGGAACAAGGGAGGATCCAAATCTTTTCAATTCACATGCAATTACTAAATGCTGTCAGCTTCCGGTGCAAAAGTACTTCAAGGAAACTACAAACCTAAAAAGTTCTCAAAAACTATTTTAAAACAAAGCCTGAACTCAATTCTTGTTATACCTTTGAGTAAATGGCAGGCCTTTGAGAGGTATCAAGTTATATATATGTGATATTTATAGAATGGGGAGATTCAAAATTATACATATCTCTCGGACGCTTACCTCAATCTTCTCTTTTCTAGCAACTGAATCCCAATCCTTGGCTGCAATACCAATTTTCCAATCAAGGTTTACATTAACCTCACCCCCTTGTTGATTATGGCTATCCACCCAGAAGCATGCCAGGTAATTCCCAGCCTCCTGAGTTGTAAATGCGAAATTACCATGTGTTGTGTTCTCCTTGTGATGAATATTGTTTCCATATGGTGACGTCACCTAAAGAAAAATATTACTATTAAAAACCAAGAGACAAGTAATAGATCTTTTCAACAAGCTGATATCAGAAGATACTGATTTACAGCCCAGGTACGCAAGGTTTTTGATAGAACACCAATTGATAATCACTTATTTTATTTGATACTGGGTCACAGACACAAAATTGACACAACACAGCGAAGGGTTGCTGTGTCCGAGTCTTATGACTCTTATGGAGATTATTCTCTGTCCATACTTACAAAATTACGACACACATAACTCCCTAATACACAAAACTACATATAATTTCACCATTAAGCACACAAAGTGCAAACCATGTTTTAAGATGTTTGCCACTTTCCACCACGACCAATGAGCTCAATGACAATGAAACGAATGCACATATAAAATATCACACAAAATATCATGATCAACATTAGATAACAGGATAATAGAGCCCAAAAGATAACACCTAAAATTAGCATATTAAAAATTGGTGGAGGGGCAGAGAACGCAGAAGGGAAGATTGGAGGTGGATTGAAGAAGGGAAAAAGAGTACCTTGACGGCGATGGTGGGGTTGTGGGAGTGATCATTGGGAATGACGACATAGTCGGCCAAAACGACGACGTTGTGTTGGATTTCTTCGGAGACACACTTGGTGCCAGAGATGGGCAAGGAGAGCCATATAGCGAGAGCAGAAGGAACGAGATTGCTTGAGAAAAAGAACAACAGGAGAAACATTCTTAACATACCTTTCCTTCCCATACCTTCTTCTTCTCTCTCTCTCTCTCTCTCTCTCTGTATGCAATGTTAACAACAAATCAAAATGTTCTTTTTTTCCTCTCTCTTTGGATCTCAATCCACACCTCTTCTATATCTCTCCTTTTATTTTATTATTTATATTTCTCTCTCTTTCTGCCTTAACAAAGTACTTGGAGTTGTTTGTGTGATAGGCTTAAATTTTGTTATAGAAAATATTTTTAAGATAACTACCATATTTATTAACATCTTTTTTATAAATTTTAATTAATTTTTTTTAAACATATTTTAAATTTTTTAAATTTAGATTAAAATTTAAAATTATTATTTTTAATCATAAAACTTTTAAAAATATAATTATTATGAATAATATATTTAAAAGATAATATAATATTTTCGCTATCAGAAATATCGATAGATAAATTTTAATATTTGACACATTTCTTAATAAAAGTTGAGTATAGAATTAAGATTTATTTTTGAAATTATAAAATTAATTTTAAATTTTAAATTTTAAAATAAATTTATATTAAATTTAAAATATTAAAAATATATTTAAACATTAATTTCTTTTATTTTTTATTTCTTCATTACTTCTCTTCAAATTTACGTTATGCAGCTGTTTTTGTGTTATTCTTTTTTGGCTGCAGAAGCAGCACCGCCTGGAAAAATCTGTTCTGCACATGTATACATAGATAATTTGGCATTTTGAAACTATTGTATATAAGGGTGACAAGAATTACTCATTTTCTTTACATAAACCAAATAAATAGTATAAAAATAATTATATATAGATATAACTCCTCAATAAGGTTATTATTCCCCCTTCTTAATATTGCTTTGTATATATCCGTAAAAATTTATCAAATTTCAACTAATCCCTTCTCTCTATCTATAGAGATTTATTATATTATCTAAACTTATTTTATTTAATAACTCACATCAAGTTTTAATAATCAAATTATCAAGATTAAAATTTTTAATATATAGGTTAAGTTTGTGCATTTTTTAAAAATTTAAAAATTGTTTAATATTTTGTTTCATTTATTCAAAGAATTTTCAAATTTTTCAAAAATTTGTAGACTTGATCTATAGATTAAGAATTTTAATTTTAACGGTTAGACCAATTAAATTTGATGTAAAATATTAGTTATCAAATAAAGTAAGTCTAGATAAAAATCAAGAACGGCCCATTCCAGGCCACGTCTGATGCCTATAAATAAGAAATCTCGAGCACAGTTCAAGGGACCTCCAAAATTTCGTCCAAAGCTCCATAGAGCTTGAAATTTCTCCCTTTTTTCTCTCTCTCTCTCTTATTGTACTTCTTGAGTTTTGTGAGCTTATTGTAGTGTGAAAGGTTGCCACAAAGCACCTAAAACCTCCATAGTTGAAGATCCAATAAAGCTTGTTACGAGGTATTATTCATCAATCTCTTGTTTTATCTTTCTCTTCTTTTATTTTACATATTACTATAATAAACGCAATTATGTAGATATTTTAGGGGTTTACCGTGTAATTTAAATTTCAAGCATGTAAATAGTAATTCATAAAGGGGATCTAGTATTTAATTTATTATTTCTTATCTCATTAACTTCATCATAGGGTACCGATTGAGGGCATTGTAGGGGTGCTTAATACCTTCCCTACATG